GGACGTCAATGGACTGGCCAGACTGTCATGTGATGTTGATTTGGCCTTGGCCGTGGCAGCGATGCCAGTAGCATTTGAACTTGGCATCGTGGTTGGCAGCGATGCCAAGTTGGAAGCGCTGCCAGACGGATGCCAGGTGCGATATATGACTACTAAATTAATGCATTGAGTTTGGCCGAGATGCTGGCAGCTGCGCCATGGCCTCCCGTTGGCATCCTAGTGCGATACCGCCCTTAATATACTTTGTTCGAACATGCACAACTTTTATGCAGAAGTATATTATACGTTAGTGAACGTGATTCTGATTTAATTTTCTTTCGTTTACTCTGTATATAGGCTCGCATCTGTTCTCGTCACCGTACTCACATAGAACTGCCTGACAATATCCGGGCCTGGAGTTTGTAGATGTGCCGGCATTGTGACCATTACTTGATTAGCTTCTTCTCCTCTGAGGTCCTTCTGCTCAATCCACGTTCTGAGTATATGGAAAGCAGGGTTGGTTCCACACATGACCATAACATCGCGATACACCTTACTGTAACACGTAACATTGTTATTATTACTGCCTTTTTCGGTCTTTTACTATCGTAAAGTATTTTGAAAAGAACGCGTTTCGGAAACTGGATCTGTTTTCGTCGTCAGATGAATCTGTGAGGAGGACCTACACATTTGGACCTCTGGAACCACAGCGTATCAAGTAATTTTACATAAACTCCTAAAATCATGTGTTGTAGCCGTAGTTAATACAGTTTACAGTAAAAATTGTGTAAATACCCACAAAAACTTAAAACTACAGAAATAAAATAAAATAAGCCCACTAAAACTTTGCCAGAAATCTAATCGATCGACAAAGTCCTGAAATCTAGTAACAGCAAGTGTAATTTACCACCGTCAGAATTCCTTAGTTTTCATACGTAACGTTGTATTCAAGCATTCATTCCTTTTTGTAAATTATTTATTTACAATACAGTAGTTTTAAAAGTCGACACAACTGGTAGATATCTGTCTTAAAGTAGATCTTTAAGTCTATTTGACCTGTGACATTTGAGATTCTAACGGCGATAAAGAAATCGATGATAATCTTCTGGGTTGTAGCGCCCGTGTATTTGGTATGTTTGATCTGTGTGTGCATTTCACGCAGATCAGGACACCGACATCGGACACCCATTTCATATAAGAAACCTGTACCATACTAATACAAACACATAAACCCCAAGAACATTTTTAATAATAATAATAATTCAGAGAATTAAATAATAAACCTTAAAACCCAATTATTTTTATATGACTAAAACAACACAGACACCGAACATGTATCAATTATTTATTTTAATCCGTCTGATCACAATAATTGAGTTTTTAAGTTCTTAGATATATTTTACACCTGATGATGGTTTTATAAAAACCGAAACATGTTGTGTAAATGTTCCGAAATGTAAATCGATCAATCGATATGGAACATGAATGATATTTTATTATCTTAATTATAAGAAATTTTAAATAAAATTATATTGTGATCAGACGGATTAAAATAAATAATTGATATAATATTCACAATATGACGCAATTACACTATTTTACCGAAAACATGTAAGTCGAAAGAAATATATCAACTTCATATCAGCTGTTAAAAGTTCTTAAATGTTAACTTTCACATGTAATTATAGCTTAATGGAATATTGCGGTAGATTCCATTAATTGATCATTAATAAGGATAAATAGGACTTGAAAGGTATAATTTGTTTTACGTGAAGCAATGCAATGATGCAATCTCCGCTCTCTTACCTTTAGGCAGCTTTGGTTTTTTTCAAGAACTGTACAGCCACGTGGAAAGGAGTTTACTTACCTTTCTGTAAGCTGCTGTTTGTTGTTCTGTGGTTGGAAATTCACACTCGAAACCGCCCTTTTCAAGTCAAACAGTGTCATTGTACGACAAATTCGTACAGCTACCAACACCTTCTCCAAAGTCATCTTCTCATGAATCAATGTAGACTCTTCAAAATCTGTAGCTACATCAGTAATTGTTTCTTTTAGTTTTTGTATTTGTTGGAAACTTCTCTCGGATCCTTGGAGCCCTAAAGCGTTCGGAATTAAAGGTTGGTGTGGAGGGTTGTGTAATCCCAGCAGCCCAAGTTCCCATTGATTTCTTTCTTTGTTCGAAACCTCCGGTTGAGTGGTGTTTAGATTTGTTGCGTTCATGGATGTTGGAATATCATTTGTTGCTCCTTTATTTGTGCTTGCTGATGGAGTTATATTTGTTGTTTCTTCTGTATATCTCGGATAATACTTTTCCATCTCTTCAAGTAAAGGACATGTATCCTATGGAAAAACGCAGTTGCAATAAACATCTTTTGTCAAACTAAACCAATCATTTAAAGTAAATTAAGTACGGGTAATCTAAGTTTGTATGCTGTGATTTTTAAAAGATTTAATAAATAACTTGTCACAAATACCCAGGAGCTAAAGGTTGTAATTGAAACTGCCACTCTATTAATTTTTAATCCATACGATATTTATCGATTAGTCAATGGATCAGCCGATGTGTTTACAAAGTTAATATAAAGAGTGGCTGAGGCATGGACCTCGTCAGCCTGGCCCCTAGGACTGTGGGTTCGAGTCCCACTCAAGGCTTGAATGTTTGTCCGCGTCTTTCTGTGTTTGTATAGGTAGAGGCCTTGCGTCGGGCTGATCACTCATCCAGGGAGTCCTACCACTGTCCAAATAGATCAAGAATGAATAAATAAAAACCTCGACACCTACGGGTAAAAGTGGATATAGAGAAAGAAAGATTATGCAACACAGATCATTATAGACATATTCTTTTGCATCAGAATGATTGTGAATTACGAATTCAGAATCATAATAAATTTCAATTATAAACGTTATGTGCTACGGTTGTTGTAACAAGGACAAATATAACCTATATAAATGTATGAGTTAAAGAAAACGAAAGAATATATTAGATTATTCAATCACACACTAATTAGTAATTGTGAGATTTGAGGTTATCGCAGCGGCCGAGTTGACTACGATGTTCTGGGTAATGATAACGTGCTGACTCGTAGGTAGATATTAATGTTTCAGCCCTGAAGATAGAGGCAGAATGTTTCTCCGAAACGTTAGCATATATCTATGTGTGCACACGGCGTCATAACCCAGAACAATAACATCGTCTTGTCACTAATTAATTTAATATCTCTTGTTACAGCTGCTACCGAAAACGACATATTGAACTGACATACCTTGTGGCCATTCGCGTGTGTGAATTTGAATTTGAGCTCATTTGAAACAATGGGGTCGGCTGGGGGACTGAAGCGACGTGAAGTTTCCTTCATAGAAATGAGGTTCATCGTAATGTATGAGCTGACAGATGCTTCACTCTCTCCGTGTAAGTGCAGGTTTACTAATACTCTCGAGTTGGTTTCCGTTTGAAGTATTCTGAAGTCGTTCTGATCGCCACATCCGGACAACCTCGTTATTGACACTCTCTGTAATAAGGGAGACACCACATAGTATTCGTACTAGATCGAGGCCTAGTATCGGCCTCAAAATCGACTCTCCTATAGTATTCGAAATAGTGATAATGCTTGCAGTGATATCCTTCTGATACACCATAGTCATTTTTTTTTATTTGTAGTGTTCTGTCTGACGACAGGTCCATATCCTTTTCTCGGACTGGGACCTGTTCATATACGTTCTTGGCAGATGATCCAGAAGTGGTTTGCCATTGCCTTCTCCTGTGTGTTGGGATGCCACGGAGAAACCGGGGAAGCCCCCAGAGGAAAACTCCGTGATGCCTAGACCACGGCCTTGCCCAACACAAGTTATAAATTCGGGCACCGCCGGGAATCGAACCCGAGACCCCAGGATTACAAGGCCAGCGTTCTAACCACTAGACCACCGTGGCGGTTCACCATAGTCATAACTGAATAAACAAATACAAGACTATCAGACGTTTCTTGGCTGTTCTCCATCTCTCGCCATCTTAACTATAAACCGATGCCTCATGACCTCAGTATTTCAAACAGCGCCAAAAATTGTTTAAAATCATTACGCTTTCTTTGTCTCTGTTTTCATGTATGTGCCAAATTAATGCTGTGAACGTAATGGGACGTGAGAGTGAAGTTGGAAGGGACGTCTCGTCTGTGTAACAAACAAGTTTTATTTGGTAGCCTGTTTGGTTGGTGATCATTTCTGTTATGGAATTTTGGGCCTTATGGGATAATGTTTGACTGTGTATGTTTTCTTATTTACACGTTCACGCATTTCCTGGGGTTGATTTATTAGTGTTGTAGTATTTTCCTTTGGGAAATCGTAGCAGAAAAGCTGTTGTCTTATATGATGCGTCGATCGATTCTTAATATCACTTAAAGAGATTGCTGGCATGATTGTGTAACTATCAAATCCCTGAAAAAGATTCGTTCTTAGATTTAAAGGAAATGTTTTCCTGTGTGTACTTACTTTCCAGAAATCTTGACACATGTTGCCCCCCGGGTGACATTCCTTGGACTTTGGAAGCCCGAAATGAAACTCGGCACTGTATTCACAGTTTGTTAAGTTTCGTGTCCTGAATATTTCAACGAAGTTCATGTTGCCACATATATCTGCTGATGGGAACCATTCGGCACGAGCTAAAGCAACGGATCTTGGGATTCGGGTCACTTCATACAGAACCTCGCATCTCCCGAACACAGAGTTCTGAAGTAAAAGATTACAAATGGTATCTCTTGAAACACCAACTTAAACTTGATATATCAACACGTTTTATTTGGTCTCTTACGTTACTGTTTTCTAAATCGGGAACTTAATTTCGTGAGAGAGAGAGAGTTCCGAATTAAAAGAAGGGAAGGGCATTGGGATTCCACCCATCATTGCCACGGTAAATAATTGCAAAACTAGCCAAACGATGGGCACTGCTTGGTGAAATATTCTTCATACTTTAGAGGAAATGTAGCCTGTAGTGTAGGCACGAGACTTACTCCCACTTTTACGTGTTCATAACAGTGCAGACAAGGCCATTGACGGCGATGGACTACAGTCCAATTTCTGTGAGGGTAGGAAATTGGTTCCCAAAGCTCGTAGGCAAAGCCCCAGGGGGTCAGGCCCCAAGAAAGTAAGTATCGTGGGTAAGGGATCTGTGGTAAAACCCCGAAGGTTAAATATATATAATCCCGGTCCTGACTGGGCTGGGTGGCGACATTACTTCAGGGTGTCCCCAGAGGGTGCAGTCCCCATAAGTGGCTTAGCTCCGTGGAGTGGACTCTCTTTCAGAACATTATCAACGACAGCGAAGGCAAGGGCTACGTATAACAATAACAGAGGTTTCCCATTGTAGCTTGAAAGGCGAAAATGTTTTGTTGAGGACAAATGGAACAACTTTGTGATTTAAGGATTTATGTTCGCGTGTAGAAAACTATTACAGGCATATTCCATTTTATGGTTAGTAAAATTAGTCATATTATTAGATGTCACGTGTTTGATATTATTCTTCCTACATTTATCTAAAGGTAAACCTTAATACAAAAGTATGAATGTAATGACAACAGAGCAACTGAAGACAATACTAGAGAAAACTCGCTAAATATCGTGTATCAGTACCTGAGACAGTGAAAAGTTTTGTCAGGTTTTAGATTTCTACGTCAAATATTTAAAAAAAATAAAAGGTATATATAATAGTAAACATTCATTCTTACCTCCATCATTTTGTACGAAGCATTAATTTGATTCCTTTTTCCTTTCTGGCCCCTTTTTAAAAACTTTAAATCGATTTGTAATTGGTTCACAATTCCTTGAATTAAATTCATCTCCCAGTCGTCCAGACCAGTTTTAAATGACACTGTCTCCACCTGCGCAAATGTTAAATTATTTACAGAAATTTAAGTTTTAAATCTACACTGGACTAAACTGAAACAGAAAGATTTCATTTTCATTACTTTTGGAGATATTCTGTGCACAGTGGCGTCGTGCATGTTTGGTGCACTCTTAACTGAGTTAATATTAAACATGTTCTGGTTTTGATCAAGTTCAGGGAATTATTAATTTTGAATAGATACAGTTATGTATATGAAACCACTAATGCGATGAATATATGCCGAATGAATGCGTGATGCTATACCTCAATTCGCACATACGTTTTCAGGTCGTGGTGCACCGGGGACAAATTAGTTTTTGTACTGGATAATTTTACTGAATTATCGAGCCAATTCAGCTTATATTTGGATCGAAAAGTTCCAATGTCTACTTCACGAAACAGCGTGGATATTCCTTTTAACTTATCTTCAGCATCAGAAGACAATCTTTTTAATCTTACGAGTTATATTTGATTTTATAAAAAAAAAATTAAAACTTGTAAGCCCCACATGCAAAGCCAGTGTAAAATTTAAAAAAAAATTAAGTTTTCGAAAGTAATAACTATAATAACAGTAGTAGTAGTTAAATCGGTTTGTTTGTTGTAAGAAATATGATAAAATGCGAGTTATGAAACTTAATTTTGGGCGTAGCACTGTGCACATGTAAGGTTATATGGTTATATATAGGACCATTTGCCATGTGGCGAAATTAATAAATTAATTGTATATTCATATATTAAACACTATTTATCGTTGCCAAATATTAATGCAGTCGTCAGTCAAGAGTTTATTATACTAAATGGAGAAGTGTATGTCGGAGTAATTACCCCTTGTCTGCTCAGTCTGACGGCGATGGTTGAACTTGTGATGGGCAGTTCCCTGAAATTCTCCCGGGCATTGTCTGTGTTCGACCACCATCCTTCGGGCAGATTCTCGTGCAGCTTCGTGTAAGTCATATTTTGAAGCTGTAAAAAAAAAAACATGCATACTTATACTGATATCCTGAAGCCACAGACTCAATATTATAATTGTTTACTTTTTATTGTATAACACAACTTTGCTTAGACTTCATCTTCTGCTATGACAAAATCAGATTTTATATACGAGGACGTGTCGAGAAAATTGGATGTAAATTTCAACATCCGATTGTGATTTGGTAGTCCAGTGGAATTCACTGAGAAAATGATTAATCGTTTTATGGGATTAACTAAGGAATGTTTGAAATTCCGATGTAGTTGTTAGCATTGTGCTTGGCATTCGTGATGTTATGTCTTATCTTGTCTTCCAGCATGCTGCGTGTATTACTGAATTGTTTTAACTTTTCTTCATTGCATCTTGTGGATTCTGTTCAGAGTAGTCGAACAGGAAACATTTTCGGTAGTGAAATTTTACGTAAGCCTGTGAATATAATAGCAACATTCACAGATCTGACGTCCGTGTTTCATCCGAGAATCCCTAAAGTTCATTGAATATGAAGAAATCTTGTTATGTTAATTTAAATCAAAAACAGATGTTAGCATAAATGTTAAAATACGAACTATATTCACGATTAAATTGTGAGTAGAGACAATTTATGGACTTTTTTTTTGTTCTGCAAAATATTATAAATTAGGGCTTAAAATTATAACTCTACTTATTTTGTTCGTACGAGAAAGAAATGTATGCCATGAGAGAATAATAGCGATGGTAAAAAATTATCTTCTGGGGTACTGCGCCGTGTAATCTCGTAGAAATTGACAGACGTCGTTGGTCAGTCAGCGTCGTATAAGAATCATCTTCATATTCGCCGCCGCGAATACCATATACCTCACAAAATACGTAATTGGTGCCTGAGAAAAAAATATTTGGAGGAAAAAGAAACTAACTAATAGAATTGGGAAATTCACATAACGTCGAAGCTTAAAAATTGTATTCAGTGCAGAATTAAAGATAACGTGGACAATAATTTTGAGTATATTATGAGGGTTGAAATATATCTTTGAGACTTTGGCTACATTGTAGGTAAGAGAGAAAACGTGAGGACTGAGGCCATAATGGACCAAATTGTTCACAAAGGTAAATATTTGTCAGCTGTTCTGGAATTATTTTGCGCCATTCTTAAAATATTTCTGCACAAAGATAAGTTTTGTCACTGAAACTCAGTATCTAGCACGAATACTTGTATAAGAATGATTAATTTCCTTCAAGAACGTCCAGCACTCACCTTGAGGAAGAGGCCGCTGGTATCCGTTTGCACGCGAAGAATGCCTCGATACCGGATGCCAGAATGCTGCTGTTGCCCCAGGCTCGGAATGCCCGCCACGGTCCGTCCGTCCAACGCGAACATGTGTTCCTTCCTGGGCTTCCAGCCTCGAGAGCGGACAAGGAAAAATATACCAGTTCAGTTGCATTATCAGAGTTCTTTTAATCTTAATCCAGCTACGTTTCACTTGCTGGAAGATTCTTCTTTTACGCATCTGAGAAAATACACAGCTGGCTGAGAATTTAACTGATATTCGAATGAGAATACTGGATTTTTTTGTTTTATTTTTGGCAACACTGCTGATTCCCTGTGTTGCGAGTGTGGTTCATTTGTAGTTGCGTTATTGTCTGAAGGAATGAAACGGGCAGAGCTCCACCAAAAGTAGGTGTTCAGTGTGGACACAGCTGTTTGTCACAATGAGTGGATTGAAATATTTTAATGAAGTGGATCGAGTGTTCTTTATATAGACAAGTAAGCAATGATTTCTGGGAATTTCTGAAAGAAAGGATATTAATTAATGTTCCTCGTCCTTGGTACAAAACTTTAGCGTAGCAAACGTCTTTGAGCCGCCCGCACTCCGCCAAATGACTACAACTGGTCCATACTCGCAGACATCCGTTCTTAATCTACAGCATGGCTAGGCTTCAGCAGTGTCGCCAATTATCCAACGAAAATATTTCAATATTGCTGTCTTTTAATTCCTCTCGTAGAACAGATTTGCTTGAATCTGGTCTTGAACTTAAGGTAACTTGTTAATTTTTTTTTTTAAAAAAATTGGCTTAATTTTATTTGAAGTTCGTTCCATTCGGTTCATCTCCATGATACATCATGATATGTCGCGTGAGGAACCTGTAATGGCGATGCATACAGGCCTTAAATAACGGAACTAAGAAAAGACGCGATTAATGTTTCTCGATCGGGTCGAATGACCCTGACACATTTCATAAACCTTGCCAAGTTGGATGTTTCATTTCATTTCGTGCTGGATGAGTGCGTTTGTGTGACAGCTACTCTAATGCATGTTATGTATGAATTTAAATGTTCACTTGTTATGTACCCAAGGGCAACAACGTCTCTTCAAATAAAGATGCAAAAAGCTCTCTTTGGCTGTCTGGGTTAAAAAGAATATAATAGCTTTTAATAATAAGACTACAGACATACATCGTATTCGCGAGTGACACGTTTCTCAGATGATCGCGAAGGAGGTTAACGGATTCTAATAAATATATCTACCGGCATGTAACCCCTGAGTGAATTATTATGTTATTTTCTTTCGGTTGTTTTCCTAACATCATTTCACCTTTCATTAAATATATGTTTAGGCTACAGGACAACATCGTTATATAAATACAGTAAAGTCCCTTGAATATGTGGCAGGTTTAAAATAATAAATCAAAATTGCATTTACTGAGAAATTAAGAGCAGTCTAAATTCAGGAAATATTTGCTACCGTGCAGTTCAGAATTTTCTGTATTTTCCGTATGCTATCTAAAGCAGTGATATTCAACCTGGGGTACGCGTACCCCCGGGGGTACGCGAAGACATCTTAAGGGGTACGTGAAATTTAATAAAAATATTATTTTATGATAAACACTGAATAATCAGTAATGTAATTTATTTAATTTATTTTAGATGTAGATTATATAATATGTATAACTTGAATTATACACCAACAACTTTGGGGGTACAAAGTTGAAGAGAAATTATATCTGGGGGTACCGAACAAAAAAGGTTGAATACCACTGATCTAAAGCATACAAACAACTATTCTACCTGCGAAGTTCTATGAGTGTAAAACTTGGTCTGTGATATTAAGAGTCACCAAATGTACTTGATTGGGCTGTTGTGAGCATGGTAACGAAATTTTATGTACCATAAAATACGCGGAATTTTTTGAAGCAACGAGACGCGGGCTGTGACGCAGCACGTGGTTTATGAAATGTGAGCAGAAACTTTTGAAAGGAATTTCGTGCCTGTGTATACCATCATCTGTGGTTATAGGAAATTCGCGGATGTGGATGGACGGCTGTACTACTCCCCTAGGACACGTCGACGTGTCACGAGTAATGCTCCGTCTTTCCTAGCGTGTAGACAGCAGACATTTCCTCATTCCATTTGATCTTCTGTCTGTCTGCTAGTCTCTGTTCTGAACACTTCAGTTATAATTAGCGATACTTATCTCGACTGTCCCGTAATGCGGATTCTTTGGATCAGAGCAACATATTCGCGCTATTTCCTAAAATATATTGCAATAAAACATTCGCGCACAGAACAATTTAAGTGGAATTTAGAATGAAGTAATAACAGTATATGAGTGAAAGGCGAGGTGTTAAGGAATTGAATGTTGATCTTGAAAATTCAGTGTCTGTATTCTGTGTTGTAATGCCGTGTGAACTTGAAGGTAGACGCCAGTGTTTCGGTGTAATTTTATGAACTATACAGCGTTATTCAATGGAAGGCCTCAGTTATAAATTGCTGAAGGGAATTAATTGTAGCTGTCTACCTAGGCGATAAGAAATTTCCTGTCCTAGGACGTTAGGTGGTTGATTTCTTCATTTAGTAATAATTCAGTACAATTACAAACATATAATTTCCACAATTATCTGGCACAGATTTTAAAATATGTATTTTTAAAATAATTGTTAAAATCTTCCCTTAATTTTGCAGACATACGTTGTTTTGTTAACGAGTTAAGGAAAGCAATGAACATCAAGTCGGCCTGCAGTTCATAGGTCAGGGGTCACAGGTTTCGTCATATCTTTAGAAGAATTATGCTGAAGTGGCGCATTGAACTTACCATGATCTGCATATGATTTCGAAACTGTAAAACAAGAAACAATCAATTAATACGTATCGGATCATAGGCAGAATATATTAAACTTGTGTAATTCACTCCTTGTTAAAAATGGAGACAATCCTGACTTCGACGATAAGCTATTCGACAGTTAATTATTTAGACCAAATTTATCATAAACTCACTAATATCCTTACGTAGAGAATTTAAGGACTTTGATTCACAGATCACTCGGAGACTGGTCTCAGTGTCAACCTTTAACTAATTGATGTTGATAACCGTGGCGTGGTTGTATTTTCTTTGCTTTATAATACCACCAACAGGAATATTACTTACTATTACTCTGAATTACATTTCGGGTTCTATAAAATACGTATTTATTCAGTAACTGAGTGACTTCCCAAGAAAGACTATGTCCCATGCAGTTATTTACGTAACTGGTTTTGAGACAGAATTATTCTTCAGTTAGATGATACACTTTGCGTCCTCGAAAACATTTTTACAACAAAATTGACATAAACTTCTGTTCTTATATGCATTCTGTAACGTTGTAGGCCTACTATTAGTATTTACGGAAAGCACAAACCATTACAATGACATTTTTTTTTATAATTATTTAATTATAAGTTTGTTCAGTTTAATAAATTCCAAAACTGGAATTAAAAATTAATTTCTTATATCCAGACTGTTGTCTTCCGGGTTGTGACACCGTATATTATGCAGCCCTGAAGATGGACACATTATGTATCTCTGTAACGTTAGTATCTACATACGAGCATAACCCATAAGAACATTGTAATCTTCACTGCCGTGAGAATCTCAAATTATGCACAATTATTCTTGTATGTGATTTAAAATTTTCAGACGAAAGAAATTAAAGTCTTAGATTCTTCACTTGCATTGGTAATGGATGAAGGGAGATGTTAAAATCTCAGCCCGGGGATAGAACAGCAGACCGATGGCTGGTTATAAGAGCGTTTTTAAGTCCTGCATCTAAATTCAGTCACTCCAAGGCCGTCTGTATATCTTTGTTCATTTAACGACACTGTATGTATTACGTAGATTATATATTTTCAAATGACGAAAATGATTATAAATCATGTACTGTGGCGAAATTGCCACGGTGGTCTAGCGGTTAGAACGCTGGCCTTGTAATCCTGGGGTCTCGGGTTCGATTCCCGGTGGTGCCCGAATTTATAACTTGTGTTGGGCAAGGCCGTGGCCTAGGCAACACGGAGTTTTCCTCATTGGCATCCCAACAATTACTCCATTCACACTCAGAAGAAGGCAATGGTAAACCACTTCTGGATCATCTGCCAAGAACGTATATGAACAGGTCCCAGTCCGAGAAAAGGATGGAAGGATCCTGTTCATATGGACCTGTCGTCAGACAGAACACTAAAATAATAAATAAAGGCTAAAGGTTTTTGATGAAGACATGTCATGAAATTGATGCATATTCTTTGGACACATTCCTTCGTTTGTTAATGTGAAATGCGGTTTATAACATATCTGTAGTTTCGTCATCGGGTGAAACTGTATCTCACACAGGTTATAGATAATACGCGACATAGTAATATATTTTATATTTCCAAGAATTGTAACTTTAACATTTGTCTAAATGAAAGGTGATTTCGCCAAGATAATGAAACGTCTAAGAAAGTAACCATTGACAGTGTGATGTACTACAACTTATTCATCCATATGAAAGAGAGCTATGGAAATACATTTTGCAAAAAGATGGCTTTAGTTAGTAAAATTGAAGAGTATTTCTTGTGCATTTAACGATGCTGTGAGTAGCTCGGTGTATAGTATCACAAGTTAAAAAAAATCCATGTATTCGTATAAGTTAGTGGTAGTCTTGTGGGCTCTGACGTCATGTTGACTAGTAGGCGCACGGCGTCACTACTCACAAGACCGCCATCTTCTTCTTCACTGATGAGGATGTATTCCGCTCTTTCAAAATTTTCTCTGAATTTAAAACTCGTGATTCATTTCGCTTGATACTTGCATTCTTAACTACAAATTTAAAGTTATATTCTCGTTACTTTAGCAACATTTGTAAATTTTGTTTGTTTCTTGTCGAAATCAAAACGTTTCTTCCTCCCATTTCGAATTCGAATTGTCACAGTCCGTGTAGCCAGCGATCAAAGAGGCAAACGGCAAGCTCTGTTACCTGTCACTGTGTTAATGCATTGTAATAACTGGACATAAATGTTATTTTCGTTAGGAATAGTACAAGCCTTAATGTTAAGTTCCCAGTCTCAGATTTTGTAGGATCGTACTTACGTATCAGAAGACAAATCGTGCAAAGAACAGTCTTTTCGGGACTCCTCATCGTGGCAACTGAAATTGTGTAAGGGACTCCGGTCGTGAGGAGAAAATAGTGCCGGGACGGCAGGTCTAAGTTCAAGGTTATTAAAAATAGAAAGCTGAGGTTGCATCTTGTGGGGCCGTGACCTACGCATCCTTGATCTCTGTCACGCGTGTCAGGTTCTGCACTGCTAATCACTTATCACAATTCGCTCCATATTGGAACTGTTCCCCCTCAGAACCGACATCAGCACTTCAGTTCCATGGAGTAGATACCCACATGAAAAACTAAAGGTCTCTCAGTCAAGAAATTCCTTATTTTTATCAATAAAATCTTCTCAGGCAATCAGCCGCGTTAGCTGGTTACAGTAGTAAACCGACGTTTCGGTAACAAACTCTGTCCCCGTCTTCAGGGTTCTGATGTGACTGGATCCTCGGAAGTCGCCTGGCGAAAAGGGAAATGCCCTGTTTAATCACGCCTTCTCAACTCTGAATGTTATAGAGCTTTGCATGAGAAAAATTAATGATATGGAAAGGCTTGGTCGTGGACTATTTTAAAGTCCGTCGTCATTTTTTTCCTAGGACTTAACACAAAATGACCGGCTTACTAGCCGATGATTGAACTTGGGACCTCCAGATATAAATGGCTAGGAATGCGCTTGTCCTTGATATTCAGCAGATTAACATTAAAATGTCTAGTCCATGAAAGATTCTATAACTGTGAAGATGATTGAAATAATTCAGACTGTTATTGAGTTGAAGATTTCTGTCTTCTGGGTTGTTGCGCTGTGTAGTCTGGTCGATGTTAACCAACGTTTCAGAGGTCATACTGCCTCCATCATCAGGGCGATAAGTATGAAGATTTCTGTCTTCTGGGTTGTTGCGCTGTGTAGTCTGGTCGATGTTAACCAACGTTTCAGAGGTCATACTGCCTCCATCATCAGGGCGATAAGTATGAAGATTTCTGTCTTCTGGGTTGTTGCGCTGTGTAGTCTGGTCGATGTTAACCAACGTTTCAGAGGTCATACTGCCTCCATCATCAGGGCGATAAGTATGAAGATTTCTGTCTTCTGGGTTGTTGCGCTGTGTAGTCTGGTCGATGTTAACCAACGTTTCAGAGGTCATACTGCCTCCATCATCA